ATATTACTAATAAGGCCATCAATTAAGGGATTTGAGAGCTTTAGAGATTGCATTTAACGCTTCATTAGTGAGCTGGTGATAAGGGTCAATAGACATACACTTAAGACAAAAACATGTTTTCATACTCGATGTAAACCTTCAACATACAGATACACCTGAGGCTGACTATAGCAACAACAACATAGGATAGGTGAATGGATCCTTTGCTGCATAAGTCAAGATCAGCAATATGCAGATGCTAGAAAGCAAAATAAAAGGTTATATACGTACATGTAGAAGACTCTCATAGAGTTTTTGGAAAAAATATGCATGTTCAACACTCTCCCTACACCTAATTTTTAAAAACACATCCCTAAAATGACCACTTCCCTTTTCAGAGGGGACACGCAAAATTACCTGCATTCTCATAACAGGCAGAACGGGAATGCAAGGGGGATTTCCTATATTAACACCTGGTACCGTTCAAAGCCAATTTATGCCTCTCGGCCGGCGGCTTGGCCACCTTCCCCCCTCCATCTTCCTAAGGAAGGAACAATTGTCCTCGAGCACTACCTGGATGGAGTCAACAAGCCCTGCATTTTCTAGAACATCTTAAGAGTTTTTTTCTTCTTTCTTTTCAAAATGTGGGACAAGTTTCCAGTCAGGTTGGTAATTAGAAACGTATGTTTAAATATTTCATAAACAGAGGATGGCCTTAATCTCATAAGGCCTGTCTTCATCAGCTCGAGTTTGCCAGATAACCCCCTATTTTAACTATCCGATCACAGATTATCCAGCTAATCTGCGTCTTCATTAGCCCGCAGTTGCAATTAGCGGGATATTTTGTCAAGGAAATATCCAGAGAAATGTTGGTCTTGTTTCGAAAATATCCCGCTTTTTGGGAAAAAGCGAGCTAATGTGTGCCCATCTGAGCTAGTTTGTGATGAGCTTTAATATCGATCTGATGAAGACTCAATTTCGAGCTTCGGGATAATATCCTGAGTCTGAAAATAGCAGGTTAATTGGCAAACTCGAGATGATGAAGACAGGCCTCTTGGGAAGGAACAATTGTCCCCGAGCACTACCTGGACGTGGAGTCAACAAGCCCTGCATTTTCTAGAACAGCTTAAGAATTTTTTTCTTCTTTCTTTTCAAAATGTGGGACAAGTTTCCAGTCAGGTTGGTAATCAGAAACGTATGTTTAACTATTTCATAAACAGAGGATGGACTTAATCTCATATTGAAGATGAATGGTGAAAAGCCTGACAATGTTATTCAAGACAATTACCGTTGATGAATCAGATCATTAATTAGATTAGAACCATATGTTTGAATATGGAATAAACAGGGTGAGGCTTGATTTTATGTTATGATGAAACTTGTTTAATAACAAAGAGTTGTTCATTACAGTTACCGTTAATGAATCAAACGGTGAGATCCCTGGTTTTGCGATATTTTTTGAGAATTATTTATTTTCATCTCATGTACAACTTCCGGTTGTGGTACAGGCATAATTTACAGGTTACATGACATAAATGTACACTTCTGTAACAACTGCTTTCTAGTAATTTCCTGCACTTACTCAATTCGTAATATCAGACGTAGACCCAACACTATACCTAATCCTACTCCTAAATTGAACCTTAAACTGGATTGCCAGGCAACCCTACATTATACCCTATTGTTTTGACGAAATAATGAAAGCCTGGAGCAAATGTCATCAGAATCAAATGTCCCATTTACACTGACATCTTGCAACTTAAGTTGATAATTAGACCTGTGGTTAATATGTTTTGATCAATTGAAAGTAAAAAGCCCCTTTTCCTTTTGTTCATCGCATTGGTGGGTAGGTAATAGACAGTCTGGTCTGTGGCTAATCTGGTTTGTGACTATGCGGTATATATACACCATAGTTGGACAATTTTCTGATGATCCAGAACATAAATACTGAATTGGATTGGATTGCAACATTTTGTATTTTTTATGTAACCTTCTGTAGACAGGTGGCCTTTTTATACAGGTTCTACAAAATAACTTTCCCTCAAAAGGGAGCCAATTTGGAGACCACTATTGACAGGTGGCCTTTATAGAGAGGTGGTCACTATTAAAGACAGGTTTCACTGCACATGCAAAATTGGAACATCCAAAGCCAAATTCATTCAGCATTTCTTTGACAGGTAGAAGACAAAGATTGCAATCGATGACCTCCGGATTGGGAGATGATATAAAGATGGATCACAATGATCTCTTTTACAAATCAATCATCAGGGAAGAGTTTGAAATTGCTTGCACATCTAGGCCTAATTATCGTTTCGCTTGAGGTGGATTGGTTCAATATGTTTTCTTATCAGATGTAGACATTTTCTTGCTTCAGTTGAAATGCCCAGGTATTTAATTTTTTGGTTGTTGCATGTTCAGACTGCCCTCATGGGGAAAGATTTTCCTTCTACACGAATGTGTAAAACAGGAATGTCTGACATTAAGAGAGTATGGGAAGGGGAAAGAGGGGGTATAATAAGGAGAAGAGAGGGAAGAGGGAAAGCGAGAGAGAGAGAGAGAGATAACAGAAACCAAGAGTGTGGGAGACAGACAAAGAAAGACAGGGTAATGTAGACAAAATCAACGTAAGGAAATGAGAGACATAAAGAGAGACATACAGAGAAACGTGAAAGAGAGAGAGAGAGAGAGAGAGAAAGAGGACAAAGGGGAACAGCGTCAGAGAACGAAAGGGGAAAGGGGGAAACATGTAGCAGACAATAAGACAAAGAATGAACATGAAACTGAAAGGAGACAGAAAAGAGAAAGAGGGAGTGGGAAAGACACAGAGAGAAAGAGAGAAGAAAAGAAAGAAAGAGAAGGTGAAAAGGAGAAGAGGAGGGAAACTTGGAAAGGTAGAGAATGGAAAACGAAAGGGAAATACACTTGTTAAGTGTACATTGGAAATGGCAATTTTGCAAATGCTGTACATTGTTTATGCATGTAATTCTATTGCTGAAAAGGAAATGTAGTACAGATAAATGTAGTCTTAAATTACCCTACATAACTTTTAAAACCCATCTCATCATATACAATCTATATATTCAGGGTTAATAACAATGTGGTAACATGGAATATGTATGTCATGAAATTTAATGGATCATTATCAAACAAGCGATACATGTATGTATTTTATAAAACAGTATACGTATTTCAGTTAGGTGTGGGAAAATCATGCACAGGAGTGGTAAGGAAATGATGATTTCTGTCAAGTCATGCATCTTCTATTTCTTGAATATGCCACATCTTGTTTTCTTTACTTTCTTCCAAATCTTGTCACAAGATTACATGCAGCTTCAAGATCCATGATTCTAAAATAGTTCTAGTCGATTATATTTGGGTACTACATTTTGTCCAAAGATGTGTTCACTTTCTTACAATTCTGTCTTTCACCAATGGCTGCTGTTATTGTAAAGTTGAAAGTACCTCTACTCCCTGGTCTCTTTCTTGTGCTATCTCTCCCTCTCTCTCTCTCCTCTATCTTATTTCTCCCTCCCCTCTTTCTCGCTCTCTCTTTCTTCTCTATCTATTTCTCTCTCTCTCTCTATCTATTTATCCATCCCCCTCTCTCTTTCTCTCTCTATCCCTCTCTCTTGCTCTCTCTTCCTATTTACTAATGCATTTTGACAACTGTCTGTTAGTAAAGATAAGACATTCATTTGCACATACAATGTATACATATATCCACAGGCTTGAGAACATTTTGAAGAAGAAAACAAAATTCAGAGCGTAACTTTGGCCATGACTTACAAGCAAGTTAAAAACTATTTCCTTCAATGTAATGAAATGTTGGAATGAACTGTCCCAGATAGTAATTAGGCCATTTAAAAAAATAAACGTGTTTAGCGTCCTCGCCCGCTTCTTTTTTTGGGGCCGCCTCCTATTTTTAAATTTTTTTTTTTGAAATTTTTTGTTGATTCTTTTTATTTTTAATTTTTTTTTTAAAGAAATAAAACATGAAAAACACTGCTAAATTGGATCTATTTCTGATTTAAAAAAAAAAAAAAAATGTTGGCAGCCATCTTGAAAAATAGCCTGACTGTCAGGGAAAATGTACTTTGTATGTATTTTGAGCAGCCATTTTGAAAGAAAAAAAAGAAAAAAGAAAAAAGGGCCTCCTCCTTCCTATTTTTCGAAAAACCAGGACGCTAAACATGTTTTTATTTTTATTTGGCCTTACATGTAAATGAAGCCGCCTTTACAGTCCAGTCCACATGCGTTCATCATAGTTTTTCTTCAGAAAGACCCAATTTGATCTTTATATCATAAAATATACTATTGCTCAGGACTGACTTCCTGTTTCCTGTTTCACATCTACATTGTACATCAAATTCATCCTCAGCCTCTTCTGGACTGCCAATGGTTTGGACAAATTTCATAAATTAACTTTAAAGAGAGAAACATATGACTTGAAATGCTATTTTTTTTTCTTCATAAAATAAAAAATCATACAACTGAGCATACATGTATGCAACACAATTGCAACTATAATGTACTTTTGAAATATCAACTCAAGTGCAATTTTCAATACCCTTTTATATCCCATAGAAATCATGTTCACATTATACATGTGAACGTATCTTCCGAGGATATAAGCTTATTGACAGAGGTAACGTTTCTTTTCCTTGAAGGAACATATAGACCTCTGTCCAAACAAGTTGTTCAACACTCAAATTCTTGTGTGGGATTTGCTGGAGGGGTTATAACATTCACTTTATAATTTGTGAGCTAGAATTTTGTTTGTGATAATTGCTCACCTAAAAGAAATTGGGCTACTCTCCAGGCACAAAAAGAACAAACAAAACAACAACAACAAACTTGAAATATTAAATTTCATGTGCGCAAAACGACATGTTTTTCTTTAGTGTATTATTTTGGTTCAAATTTGTTTACACTATTCAATTTCATTGTAAAACTTTACGTGTCGTTGTTTTTAAAATGAATAAATAAATAAAAATAAATAAATATTTTCTTTGTATACTCACATGCAAAGTAGAGCGAGGCAGCGGGTGGTGTCTGTGTATCCGACACGCCACCAAGTGAATCCTCGATCCGTGCCGTGCAGCTATAGAACCCCTCGTCCCCGTTCTGCGTGGTCGAAATATAAAGCGTTCCGTTTGGGAAGACAAAAAAACGGCCCGTCGGGATGATAAGAACGTTGTTGTGACTCCATTCCACGTAGACTGTTCCAATCCGGAGAAGGTCGTACGCCGCGCAGTGGAAAGCGGTCGAATCCCCCAGAACAGCATTGGTGTCTGACGGGGTTTCTGTGAATACTGAATATTAACAGAGGGATATGAAAATCAATTATTGATTTACAGGATAATCCAAGATCTTTTTAATCATAGAAACTATATACACTGACTTGAAATCATATATTAACTTTGTCCAGTTAAGTTAATATTTGGAAATTCACTTTAACCTACATGTACTTATGTACATTTGACTAAATAGAAATTAAAAGAGGCAGAATTGTGATTTATTTGTTTATATTATTCAAATTTTTGAGTGTATAAAACTTTAAAATAATTCTTACCTAATTCTGCACTGCAGCTTGAAATAAATAAGGTGGTCAAGAGGAATATGAAGACTTGGTTGAGTTGAAGATTGGCCATGATGATCGATTTAAATCCTAAACATCTACAGAGAGATTCGATGACTTTGTCCAAAATTCCTTCCTCTGAAGTATAAGCACCACTCCGGGTTCCTTTGCAGTACATAAAAGCAGTACCAACACCATGTGGCCAATTACTCTGCTTTTGTCCAAAAATATCTTCCAGTAAAAAAATATCGTTCACTTTAGTAGTCCCTGGACAGTCCCACGCTTTAAATGTTGCGTTGGCCAATCCACACACCTACGTGAACAACCCTACTCTCAGCACCAGTGTGTTACTTGATCATGCAGTTGTTCCGCTCCTACTGGCCGGTCTGTCTGGCTGCACAGTCCCACACACCAAACTCTGCGTCGGTCCACTCCACTACGTCTCAGCTCTCGATCGACTCCTCTGCGTGTTACTCATGCGGTTGTTACGCTCCTACCCGCTGATCTGCCTGGAAATGCAAGGAAATGAGGGGAAACGTGAAATTTGTGCGAGAATTTAGCCCATTTGGAAGGATGATGTGAGCGGGTCGGCTCACATCAAACTTGATGAGCCAATACAACAAAGGAACAAGTTACATGTACAGATATGTGACTACTTGTACAAGCAGTGTAACCTGTCTATAAAGACCACCCAAGGGGGACAAGAAAACTGGTCTTTATAGGCAGGTGGTCTTTAAGTACAGGTTCCTTTAGTACATGTTTTAATGAGAAACCATTTTCAAGAGAAACAAAAAAATGTGGTCTTTGTAGACAGGTGGTCACTAGAGCAAGTTTGACTGCACTTCAGCGGACCCCATAGAAACATTTTAATTTCTTTTAATTTTTATGTAACAGTTCTTTAACCTTCTCATGTTAAACAAAGTTTTATTGGCCATTTTCCATGCTATTCTGGTTTTGATTTACAGATACGGTACATGTATATACAAAACTAAAATTAAAAGCTCATTAACTTCATTTAGATATAAATTAGCAATGAAGTATGTTTTGATTGCACAGTGAAACTACATGTATAGCTGCTTTACATGTAGTAACCTCATTTGTAGAAAAACCAACTATACCTATAAGTATAAAGACCACACTTTTTTGTTTCCCTAAACAGTCGTTACTCATAGAAACCTGCATGTACTGAAGGACTGTTCATAAAGACCACCTGCCCATAAAGAACACTTTTCTTGTCACCCTTGAGTGGCCTTTATATACAGGATTTACTGTATTTGTTACAATTTCTATCTGGACTAAATTGTATATTGGAAACATCTTTCTGGGTGACCGTGATTCAGAGTACTTTTTAAAAGTACATACTTTGTACATGAACTTTTAACTTCATATCATTTGGGTATTGTACTTGATTTTGAATAATTAGGTTAGGAGACATTCTTGTTAGTCATTCTTATCATAAATTAAATTCAAGCATTCTCATCCTTACCAAATCCCCACTCCCCAAATGCCTTTGAAATTTTCTCCCAGATCTTATCTTGGTAATACTACTGCGGTAAACTTTGAATGTACTTTCAGAAATAGGGACAACTCAGCACATTCATGTATACTTCAACTGTTGTCCTTCAATTTCGGTTTACTGGCTTCGGGAAATTAGGTCGGGAGTCTCCCTCGTTCTACATTCTGCACATTCATTCATGTCAGACTTGCTAAGGGACTTCCCCCTTCCAATTAAAAGTAATGTTATACTGTCTTCTTCAAATTGACAATTTCCCCCATTGTAACGTATTGACCATCTCGTGGCTTGCGTCCCACATAAGTTAATTCATCAGGCACCAATATGGTTCTTACAAGCAACTCTTAAGAAAGAAAGAAATTGAATTTGTTCTGCCCCGGCCAGGCCATGCCTGTGGGCTACCACATATTGGTGGTTCCAGCGCTAATTACCTCACAGACAGCATTTACACACAAACATATGATATACTGTGATCAGTACAAGTGCCTCCATTTTGATAATTTGAGCAGGGAAACTTTAGGATCCAACTTTGCAGTCAGCCATCATGTGACAAAACTTTTTTGAATTAAGTCTCAGGTTGGGGGAGGGGAACCCAAGAGTGAATAAAGACATACAACAAGAACAGCAAGAACAATTAAATAGAAAGTTTAGGAAAAACAGAATTCTAACAAAACACTGAGTACTAGCATGGACTCTACACATGTAGTTTTCGCTAAATACCTTATGATCAATTACTTTACACACTTCAGGGCTTAATAATGGACATCTATTCATTTCTATAAAAACTCAGAAGTAAATTAAAGGAATAATGTATCTGGCCTAGCTCTGCTGTCTGATTTTGTCAGAAGATAACCATGTTACAGAGCAAATTTTTGATGTGACAGCTGTATCCTTTAAACAATAGGGAGCCAGTTAAGAGCAAATTGATGTATGAAGATCAAACAATTGGGTAGGTATCCGGACATCAGTCACTCAAAAACCACAATTTTGTTACCATCCTAATTTTTCCAACATTACAAAGCTTGTAGAGTATTTGTAAACTGTACTGACTGTGTAGTTTAAAAAAAAAAAAAGGTACATGTAGCAATTGTGAACTGGTAACGCAACCAAACTAAAATTTGTTGTTTACAGAGTACAAACCACATGCACATTGTAAATAGGTGCAATACATGTATACTTTGATAGGAATGCTGGAACCAAGGATGCTATACCACACCTTAATTAGGTTCCACAACAAAAACAAAACAAGCTTATTTTGCAAAACTATGTTTCAAGAGAACTTAATTGTTCACATTATTTTAAAAGATTAAACATGCAATAACCAGAATGCAAACACATTTTGAGAAACTCGATAAGGTCACATAGTTTCAATATATTCCAATGATAGAAAAAAAACATCAAAATCATTTGGTAACTTACATGTAGATAGATAGGAAAGAAAACTCTGACCTTTCATGACAATATACAGGTACATGTAATTTATATCTGATTGCAAATCTAGATCATGTACAGACAGATGTACAGCATCAAACAATAGGGAGTTATTAAGGTTTGAAAACTGAAACAAAATGCTTCTTTCTTTTCTTTTTATCTCAGTGACTATACATGTAGCTTCCAACAAAATTATTTTTAGTATAAGGTACACCTGTATCAAATGAAAAAGCTGACCTTTCATGACAATAAAATTCATATCCAACTTAAAATCTCAACTAAACGGCAGATTCTAGAGCATCAAACAATAGGGAGTCATTAAGGTTTGATACAGAAACAAAAGGCTTCTTTCTCTTCTTTTTAGCACAGTGATATTTTTTAGTACATGTATAAGGTACATCCCAAAGAAATATCAGACCTTTCATGACAATAGAATTCTGAACTTTCATGACAATAGAAGTCATATCCAACTTAAAATCTCTACCAAATCTGTACCAAAGGACAGATTCTAAAGCGTCACACAATAGGGAGTCCAGAGTCATTTGAGTTTGAAAACTAAAACAAAAGACCCATATCTGGTCTTTGAGATGGTTTAACATGTATTGATAATGTTTTAGTATGTTATCATCGTTCCTATTGTCGTCTAATCTAGATTATGGCCTTCTTTTGATATGAGTTGATAACCCCGCAGAGACAAAACCAGAATATGACACCAGACCAGCATGAAAATGACACGAGGCCATCGAGACAGGAAGACCGGAAGAAAGGAAAAGAGACAGAGAAGGGGAGAAAAGGGAAAGAAAGGAAAAGAAAGAAAAAGGAGAGATATTGGGGATATTTTGAGAATATTAACTGGTTTGCTTGGTGGATTTATCCAAAGTTACCTTTTCCATTCACCTCTACTACTACAGCAAACAATTACACAAACAAATTACTGCTTTGTCTTTCAGAATAGTGATTTTACCCTCCTCTTCCCATATATTTTATGAACTGCATTTTATGAACTATAAAAGAAAGACAAAAAATGTCATAAATAATCATATCTGATTGATACATGTACATCTCTGTAAAAACCCAATTACACTCACACACACACACACACACACAATTGTGCATCATCCGTTTGGAACCAGAGGGGTGTAAACTCATACACTTATCAAAGAGCTAACGTCCTTCTGGCTCCGAAAAGGCGATAAACATGTACATGGTTGTATGGATGTTTGACTGTGAATGCCAGTAGTGCACTCTCAAAGAGGTGACACATCGGATTATATCTACATTTATAGGTCATGTAAGGGTTCATTACCCTAAATTAGGAGACAATTAAAAGATAATCTTTGATGATTTCCACGCTATTATGACAGGGTGAAATAGTTCTAAAAAAAAACATGTCTGATAGCTCAGTGGTGACCAGGATGTCCCAGGTTTTAAAAACCAAGTCAATTAAGCACTACTGCCCTATGCTAAAGCATCAATCCTTATTCCCAAGTCCCTCAGAGAGGACTTAAAGCCGTTGGTTCGCTTGCTGCTTACTTAACATGTACAAACATATCATAAATGCAGAAAATAAGACAAAAAACATGTATTAAAAAAAGGATTCAGGAAAACCAGGCTACTAATATTAACCAAGCTTTTATTTGTTTAATCATATGAAGATCACAACCTACAAGTTTTTCTTTGGCCAAAGTCAAACTTTAAGCCAAGCAGACATTGATCTAGGCTTCTAAAAGATGTCCATTTATTGCTGAAGACAGACAACTTATCATTTTATTCAAAACTACATTATTGAATAGAAGACCCCCCCCCCCTTTTTTTTAACACCCTATTTTTAAATTTTAACATCAAATTTTGAAGTTCTGACTTAAAGCCTAGCCAGAGTTGTCTTTTAAGGAAATGGCAGTCAGATGGCTGGCAAAATCACAAAATAATTTATTTTGTTTTCACGCACGTGCAACTCCTTTTTTTTTTTAAAAGCAACAAACAATTCTGTCAAAAATGTATTGCTCATTTTTATTATACGATGAAATATGGAGTCTTGACAAAATTTACTAATTTCCATATTGCTCCCAGTCTTGGAAAATAATTTGCTAATTTCCATATCTCTCAGCGATTCACCGTGAATTAGTGAGAGCTTCGCAAAAAAGTTTTAGGGATCCTCCATTAGCAGTCACAGGGATTAATTGTCTTTTCCCGAAAATAGATCAACCGACAAATCCAAACGGAGTCTGTTTGGCTAGCATTAACCCTCTCACAGCCAGAGGCATTTGATCTTCTTTATTTTAAAGGCATTTTCTTGTTTCTTTTACATATTTTTCTCCTCTTATTACCCAAGATTATTTGGTAAAAAGCGTATCAGTTGACTAGACGCCCTACTTGTGAATCACATGTAATTCTTGTCTATATCCATTGGCTTTGCAAGGGGATATAATTACATAAATTCAGGTAGAGTATAAATTTAAAGGTGACTTAATGCTTAGTAATGTGTACAAGATAGATGAAGCAAATGACATATAAAGAAAAACTTTTTGATTTGTGACTGCAGGTTTTTTAATGTTCATATCCTCT